GGGTCTGGGACGTAACAAATGGTATCAGAACAGTTGTCAGCCAGAAGTGTGGAGCTAACTGCTATGCGGTGTCAGCCACTTCTAGAGCACGAAAGATCCACCTCTAGAGTCCACATCGTCTGGTGATACTGCGATGTGCCAATTGTCATGTCGCGACAAGGACGTCGTCTTTGTAAGGTGAGGTGATTGTGATGCCCCGAGTGTGAATAGTCTCACGTCGAGAAATGAGTGAAAAATTTAGTGGCTTAAATAAGTAAACTTAAGATTCAAGCGTAACATCGGCTAGTTGATTTTGGCAGTGATTTGAGCCAAACAACGCCTTACACTCATTGGGTCCCACGGCTTGCACGCGCCAATGGGCCAGCGAAAAACAGATCTGATCCTTTAAAGAATAGCATATTATCTTCGATGTAGACAATAATGGAGAAAGAAACTGATTGTAAGCTCAAAATTAGGTATATGGCGCATGATAACGTCAGAAAATATCTGTTAATAAATAAGTGCGTATAAGGAGATACATGTAAAACCCCGTAAATTTGAAAATATTATGGAAAATAAAAATAAATGAGTTTTATTATGATTAATTTCATTCTAGGATGAATGGATCTGTTTAGAATCGATTTGAGATCGATTATATATATATATATAATATATATATTATTATATATATATAATATATATATATATATATATATATATATATATATATATATATATATATATATATATATATAAGAAATATGGGTATGCTTGGTACAAGCACAAATTTTATGCTTGGTAGTGATGTGTCACATGTTTTCGTCGAAAGTTGCCTTCCATCATTGATTTCATTAGAACTTTAATCGTTTACAAATGAATTCAAATAACAAAATAAAAATTACAACTTTCTTGAAAATAAGCAAGATCCGTTTATCGTCTCTTGCTTGCCGTGGGTCTTTGGCCTGTGACGGGGACGTCGATATCCGTGGACTACCTGGCACTCAGATCTGTTCCGAAAAATCGGACAGAGCTTCGTCGATCCGCAAGGAGATCTAGAAGCTTGAAGCGCCTATCTCGGCTAAAACGAGATATTTGCTCTTCTTAGGATTACCGCGAAGGGTAATACTAAGGAACGGACACGGGTGATGAGAATCTGATGAAGACTTCTTCCTCTGTTGAAGCGGCTCGACACTCTTCAACTGCAGCGAGGCTTTCGCCAACGTCTCCAAAAATCCAGATCCTCAAAATGAGGCCTAAGGTTGCTATTTATAGGCAATGGGGGCACCCTGGGGCGCCTAGACACCCTAGGGTGTCTCGGAATTTACGAGACACCCCTAGGGGTGTCTCGGAATTTCTGAGACACCCCTGGGGGTGTTTTGGAACTCCTGAGATGTCCGTTGAGGTGCATTCGATTGTTTTCGCCGTAAATTCTTCGTCTGAACTCGGATTTGAGTGATTCCAAGTGCGTTGGAAGTTTGACGAAGAGTTCGATCCGCTCCGGTGGTTGGATTATCTGTAGAGTGATTGAGACATGAAGGGCATTGTCCTTTTTGTGAACATCGCCGGGTTCCCGATTGGCCTGGGTCTTCGTTGTTCTGAAATCCTATCAGCTCACGTAGTTCGTCGATTCACTTCAATCGTTCATCGACGTCAATTGAACTCCTGTGGATCGGATAGTGACGTTCATCGTCGCTCTTTAACACTGAACCGTTCGTGGAGACCTATAGACAATTTTCGATGCCTACAGATACCCCCTCCAAAGCGTTCCGGACTCATTTTTTTTATAGAAGAGGCTGGAATACTTTGGATGTGATTGGTCTAGCTTTCAGTCGGCGTAAGGACCTGTAGTTAGCTTTAACTTTTGGCTCCTTCGATTTTCGGTCTATTCGATGCTTTGACGAATAGCCGAAGTTCTTTCGGCACTGCGTTTATCGCTTGGCCGTCGTCGGAGTCTCGAGTCTGCAGTTGATGAATTGAGTTTGGCTCGTGTCATTGAGTTAACTTTGAACTACCTCCGTCACATTGCGTTGACTTAGGGTTTCGGATCACCGTGTGTTGACTTTTTGTCGCAACGCGTTGACTGGCGTTGACCTAGGGTTACGCGTTGACCGGCGTTGACCTTAGGGTTTCGAATCGTCAAACGTTGACTTTGGTCGCAACGCGTTGACTGGCGTTGACCTAGGGTTACCCTTAGGGTTTTGAATCGTCATACGTTGACTTTTGTTGCAACGCGTTGACTGGCGTTGACCTAGGGTTACGCGTTGACCGGCGTTGACCCTAGGGTTTCGAATCGTCAAGCGTTGACTCTGTTCGCAACGCGTTGACTGCCATTGACCTAGGGTTACGCGTTGACCGGCGTTGACCCTAGGGTTTCGAATCGTCAAACGTTGACTCTGATCGCAACGCGTTGACTGGCGTTGACCTAGGGTTACGCGTTGATCGGCGTCGACCTTAGGGTTTCGAATCGTCAAACGTTGACTTTTGTTGTAACGCGTTGACTGGCGTTGACCTAGGGTTACGCGTTGATCGGCGTTGACCCTTAGGGTTTTGAATCGTCAAACGTTGACTTTGGTTGCAACGCGTTGACTGGCGTTGACCCTTAGGGTTTTGAATCGTCGAGCGTTGACTTGTGTTGCAACGCATTGACTGGCGTTGACCTAGGGTTACGCGTTGACCGGCGTTGGCCCTAGGGTTTCGAATCGTCGAACGTTGACTTTGGTCGCAACGCGTTGACTGTAATCGACGAAAACGGGCGAATTCGGGCCTAACAGGGCATATATATAGGCGTACTGGGACCAAACGGGACCCGAGACACCCGTGGGTGTCTCAACCCTGGCCGAGACACCCTTGGGTGTCTCGGCCAAGGCCTAGGGTGTCTCGGTTCTAGGGCCGAGACACACACCCCCCCCTTTTTCTTTTGTTTGTTTCCTTTTTTAGCTTTCTTTCTTGTTTTGGCTTTATTGCCTCTTTTGTTTTCCCCCTTCTTTTCAAATTTTCAAAAAAAAATCCCTCCAAAACTCCTTCTCCTTCCTTTCATCCATACTCCATTGTTTCTCTCTTTCAAGGACTCAAAACCCATTAAAAATTTTTGGATTTTTTTTGTTCCCCTCTTGGCCGAAATTGATCTCTCCTCCAAGCTAGGGTTTCATCATCTTCAACCTCAAGGAAAGCTTCTTGATTTGGTAATCTCAAAACTTTCTCCTCCTTTTTGAAAAGATTATAGCCTCATGCTTGTAATGGGGATACAACATGAACCTATATGCCAAGATCATAACTTTTCTTTCTAATGATGATGGGTTGTGAGTATGGACCAAAATTTGGGGGTTTTATGCAAACATGCAATATGGCCGAATTTCAGGGGGCTTTTATGTAAAAGTGGACGAAAATTTGCAATATGGCCGAATTTGAGGGGCTTTTGTGCAAAAGTGGACTGAAATTTGTAGGGGTCTTTATGTAAAATGGGACTGAAATTAGGTTTTGGATTGCATGTCCATTTGGTCGAAAATTTGAGGGGTGCTTTATGCAAGAAAACCAATGTTGTTTGAGGGGTTTATTTGCAAAAAACAACCCACGAAGTGTAGAGGGGTTTATTTGCAAAAGGGCTGAAATTTAGGGCTGAAATTCTAAAAGTTTAGATCACAACCCAATAACCAAAGTTTTGATAAGGGCATGTGGACGTTAAATTGAAATTTGTGAAGGGGTCTATATGCAAAATTGGCTAAATTCTACAAAAGGGCTTATTTGTAAAATTAACCAAAATTGTGGGGTATCGGGGGTGTTATATGATCAGATATGATGATCGGGGGGTGCTATATGATCAGATATGATGACCATGACCCAACCCGAGCGTGTCCTTGACCCGAATTTGGCCTTGAACACGAAGGGTATTTTGGGTATTTCACCAAAGTTCACCGCAGAAGAATGACAATCATTGTTTCGCATGCACGAAATTTGTAGGTTTAACTAGACTTCAATTATGAAATCCTATTTATACATAGGATTTTAATTAAAGTTCTTAATTTCCCTTTTAAATTTCGTGTATTCATATTTTAGATTGTGCCTGACTTGCTGCTTTTCGTTGCAGATTTTCAATGTCTACACGCCGACCTCGACCTCGTAGGAGTCGTTCTCATTCGCAGCACAGCGAGGAAGAGGTTCCCGCGATATCTTTTCCAGCGGCCTCTTTCTTTGGGGGTGAGAATTTACATTTTCCGTATCCCTGATTGACCTCTTCGCGGGTCATGAAGGAAGAACCGACACCCTCCTTCGCGGGGGTTAAGGTTTCAGACTTGTCTTGCTTGGCCAATTCAAGTCTTCTGTTATATTGGGGCGATTTTGTGTCGTCTTACACCTTATAGGTCGGTGTATGTTACTACGTTATTTACGTGATGATGCATACCGTTCTTCCAGTGTAGGACACTCAAAATCGTCTCTCCAATTATTCCGTGAATGAGCTTATCATTCTTCTTATG